TGAGGCTTTGTTACGCGGTATGTCGTGGAGTGTGTGAGAGTGGGTGGTGGTGGTGGTGGTGGTGGAGGTGGAGGAGGCAATGTGTTTGGTGGGTAGGTAGGTGAAGAGGGATGGAGGGAGGAGGGTGACTGAGGGGGTGGGTGCGTAAACTGAGTGAGTCATTGATGCATGTTTGACAGACGATGGATGTAGTGAGTCAGAGTCTGAATGGATGTGGAGTGGCCTTGAGGTGTGGCGTCGTCATTGTGAATTGGTGACTGTTGGGTTGAGTTGGTCCAACGTTGGGTTTTGCGTCATTTCTCGTTGCTTATGTTCGCTACTTTTGAGGTTGGTGATGAGCGTGGATGTGTGCGTTTTGTTGTTTTTGTTGTTGTTTTTGTTGTTGTTGTTTTAATTTCATGTCTTATGACGGCCGTGCACGTTAATGTTGATTATATGACTGCTTTCTGTCTTCTGTGCTGATCAAGATATCCACGACTTGCCTGTCTGCCACGTTCTTGATGCTTCTCCCTCCACTGTTGCCTCCTCCATCACTCAGTATTCCAACATCTGTGGTCTCGTTGTCACCTTTGTAGGGTACATCAGTGACATTGACGCGGGAACGATAGCTCAGGTGGTTTGGCGTCTGGGCGCAGGTCGGGACAAGCCAGACGACGCAATCGATCACACTGTCGGTATTCGTCTTCTCAAACACGTTGGCGACTCAGTCAAGACCGGTGAGTTGACTGGTGGAAAAGCACTGACAGTGATTGTCAGTGCTTTGATTTAGACGATCACATCATTCTACTTGAGTTGGTGTGCGTGTGTGAAGGAGGAAAGACGCGAGAATCTTCTTTTTTGTATCCAAATGAGACATGGCTGTAGACGTAGCAAAGACGGACACATTGACCTGTTGGCTGGACGGACGATTACATTATCTTACGAAGGTACAAAATGCAGAGTCAAATAATGTGCATAGGGTGGAGGTGGAGGTGGAGGTGGAGGTAATGTAGGCTTAGCTTTCAAGGAGAAGTAACCTCAATCGCAAATCATTTTTGGCTTGGAATGGTATCAAGTGTCTGTAGAAGGCGGGCGACTAGAGAGAAAGAAAGGAAGGGAGGTGAGTGTTGGGCACCTCATTCCCCGACCATCCTGCTGCTTGTGCATTCATAAATGAAGGCCAGAAAGACGGACTTGCAAATCCATGCAATGGTTTAAACGGTGCTAG